GTGTAGGTGTTCATGCACCTAACAGCATGGCACCCTTAAAGGGATCTTGCGGCACCCTAGGGCGCTTGAGAATCCCGGTTCTGTTCCTTCTCTCATACAAATAGCTCCATCCAAATAGTCAGCCTTCGCCATTCACACAACCGTGATTCCTCCGCTGACCTTACATTTTGCTCTTTACATTTATCCTTAACAAAGGGCAGCTGTGACACCTGCAAGCTGTGTTGCGTTTCACTGATGGTTGGATGAAACGCCAATGATGAGGATGTAGGTCTTTAAAAGGACATGGTTTTGGGACCCCACACTGCACAGTATGAACAGGGAATGAGATTTTGGCAGGAACAGCACCTCCTGCATTTGTGCAGGGCTCGACGGGATGACTCTGGAGGTCCCTTTCAATGCTATGACTCTGTGGCAGAGTGTAACAAATGGAGATGGGATGCTCATCTTGCAATCTGGGCACTGGGCTGGAACCCAGGAGAATTGGATCCCATCCCTGGATCTGGACAGATTTCATAAAATCGTAGAAGAGTAGGGCTGGAAGGGACTTCACCCAACCTGATCCCCTGCCAGAAGCAGGATCATCCCTATCCAAATCATCCTACTAAATCCTCCTGCCAAGCATGCAAACTACATGGTCAATCCCGATGCAACCACAAGCCATAGCACCCTAGCCTGCCACAGGTAAAGCAGGAGGATGATGGCAGCCAAAACCCTGGTGTTACAAGAAGAAATGCAAAAATCTAGAACTCTTGAGTCTAAAATGACACTTTTTATTAGACCAACTGAGAAATGGCATAAAGAGAAAAAAAAGTTATTTCTGCTGTTACAAGGGTTGTTAAAGAACATACTTGACAGTTTTGAGGAAGAGGACCTGCTACAGAGGAAGGCAAAAACCCCACAGTCTATACCAACCTGACCATGGGGTAACATTTCTTCCTGACCTCATATATGGCCATCAGTCTGACTCCAAGTAGAGGGTCAAAGCCCTTTAGCCAGGAACCTCTGGCCGGAGCATTGGCACAGCCCAGTCCCCATCCCCAGCCGTGGCTGCAGCCAACGCTCAATGCCTCTGAAGAACGAGAAGCCCTCTTCTCCCCAACACATGCAGTAACAGCAGGGGAAAATAATTCCTTCCTGGCCCCATGTGACAAACAGCAAAGCACAGAAGCATGGGAAATACCCCAGTAGATCACAGGCAGAGCTACTCCTAGATCATCCCTGACCAATGCTTGCCCAATCTCATCTTAAACACCTCCAACGATGGACAGTCCCCAACTTCCCTAGAACAGGGAGGCAGCAGACGCCCAACAGTGAAATACTTCCCAATATCCAATCAAAACCTACTTTGCTGCAACTTCAAGCCATTGATCCACATTCTGCTCTCCACAACCAGAGGGAAAAAGGCACTCTCTCCCCTCTATGGAAACCCTTCAGATATTTGAAGATGGCTATCATGGCACTTCTCAAATGCTTTTTCCACAAGCTGAACATTCCCATTTCCTTTAGTTTCTCCTTGTACGATTTGCTTGCCAAGCCCTTTATCATTTTTCCCCACCCACCTCTGGACCCTTACTTCTCCATGTCCTTTTTAAAAATGTGGAGCCCAAATATATACACAATACTCTCGATGAGGTTTAACCAGTCCCAAGTAGAGAGGCACTACCATCTCCTAGGGGTTGCACCTAATGCTTCTATATTGATGCATCCCAAAGTTGCATTTGCCTTTTGTGTGGCTACACTATACTACAGATTCATACCAAATCCATGGCCTACCAAGACTCCTAGTTCC